TGCTATGATGCCAAGGCTGACCTCAAACTCTTGATCCTTCCACCTTTGCCTTCAGAGTGAGCTGTGTATTATGACACCTAATTCCTAAGAAACTTTACTTTTATTTATTTTTGTTTTTTTTGAGATAGGGTCCCCCCCCCCAACGTAACAGCCCTGGCTCTCCTGGAACTAGCTTTTGTAGACCAGGCTGGCCTCGAAATCACAGAGATCCGCCTGTCTCTGCCTCCTATCTCTGCTGGGATTAAAGGCGTGCGCCACCACTGGCCAGCGTTTTTTCTTAAATGTCTAGTTGGTAGTCTTGCCTCGCCCTCACTTGATGCTGTTTATTTAAACCTTCTGTGTAATTTCTTTCTGTGCTCTCAGAATTACACCCAAACTCCTTTCTAAACACGATGGTGAGCCACTATGAACTTACAATCAGGGGCTGGAGGCTCAGCTGTTAAAAACATTCACTGTTCTTGCAAACAAACTGGGTTCAGTTCCCACTACCCACATGGAAGCTCACAACCATCTGTACTCACAAACCTAGTACACACATATAAATTCAGGCAAACCACACATATACATAAAATAAACAATCTTAAAAAAAAAGTTTCGGGCTAGAGAAGATGGCTCAGAGGTTAAGAGCACTGGCTGCTTTTCCAGAGGTTCTGAGTTCAATTCCCTGCACCCACATGGTGGCTCAAAACTACCTACAATGAGATCTGGTGCCCTATTCTAGCACGCAGGCACACAGAACACTGCGTGTATATAATAAATAAGTAAATCTTTAAAAGAAAAAAAAGTTTCATTTTCTGTTTTTTTTTTTCCTGACAGGGTAGTCTTGCTTATAGCCCAGGATGGCCCTGAACTTGAAACAATCTTCTTGCCCCTGCCTAAGTACTAGAATTTGAATAGTATGCCTGTACAGAAATGTGCACATATGTAAACATGCATGTGGAGCTCAACAAGAAGGCTAGACTGTGGCTTGCCTGCAAGCTCCAGAGATCTGTTTCTGCCTGTATTACACATGCCAACATACCCAACTTTTTACAGTGGTTCTAGGGATTGAATTCAGGCCCTCTTTACCAACTCTCTAGCCCTTATTTGAATTTATGTTTTGCTAAGTTGATTTCTGTGCCACAAGCTTTTCTTTTCTCAGTTTTTCTAGAGTACTGTTTTCTTCTACAGTAGGGATTTTGTTTTCTCAGTTTTTCTAGAGTACTGCTTTCTTCTACAGTAGGGATTTTGAAATGTTTACTACTACATCGCCCAAGATGTTAAGACAGTCAAAATTCTAGTAGATTTATAGGTTAAGGCTGAGGTAATAGCCTCAATGGTAGAACCCTTTTCTGCATGCACCTACATGTAGGATCAAGCTCCAGAATCACAAAACAAACAAATCACGAAAGCTAACTAATGAAACAAACATATTTATAGAACAAATTCTTGACCCACAATCCCATTCTCCCCAAATATAACCCCATAGCTAAAATACAAAACTCAGGAGTCCGTTCAACAATTCTGGGACAGGTAATTCTAGGACAAAGTTATTCTGAAAGTATCTACAGTTATTTATCCAATCAAAACAAAACATGCTGTCTGCCTAGGGAAACACTCCCATAGACACCAAAAAGCCCTATCCATAAAATAAGGGATGGATTTTTTCCCCCATAAACTACACAGAATCGGGGGGGGGGTGTTTCCAAGTGGCTGTGTTTTCAACCTAGACAGTATAAAGTGAACAGTCAAACATCCCGTAAAGGACTTCAGCATCTTCTCATTCTCTGCCTCAGACATGCACTTGTTCAGATGAGAATAAACCAACTAACACTGTGATCCAAAGCTTGAAGAGGCGTGGCTTCAAGTTGCTGTCATTAGCTTAACAAGATCGTCTCTTTTTTTGTCTTTGTTTTTTGAGAGAGGGTTTCTCTGTACAGGCCTGCGTCCTGAACTTGCTCCATAGATCAGGCTGGCCTTGAACTCACCGAGATCTGCCCAGCTGGGATTAAAGACTTGTGCCACCACTGCTCACCGCCCCCCACCCCCTGCTTCTAACAGATTTTTAAAAGCATAAATGAAGAAACATAGGCATAGAAACATGTCAGGGAATTTTTGTACCACACAAACGTAGATTCTTAAAAGACATTTTCTGACTTACACCGTAAGGAAAAAGAATCTATCACACTCACTTCTGAATCTTCTGCACTTTCATAATCGGAAAGGACAGCTGAAAGGAAAACACAAACACGTGAAGGGGAGGCGTAAACAACAAACAGTGATTATAACTACATTCCTGACTGCTCACTTTGCATCAGGCTAAAATCCTCACTTAACTTAGGCAGCAACTTTTGAGGCACATAAAATGATGGCCTCTATTCATTTACTGATGGAGAAGTATATGGCATGGCTGACAAAAAGCTACGCGATTGGCAGGTGGTTCTCTGAGTACTCAACCTGTCACCTTCCAAAAAGGAACCAAAACAACCATGCTCGGAATCACTATGGTACAAAAAGCCACTCCTGGGCACACCTCCCGAAAAAACCAAAACCAAAACCAAAAAAACCCAACCGAACAACCAAACAAAAAACCCTTAACAATCTAAGAGAAACCCAGTGTTAGAAATGCGTGGCCTCAGTTTATGTCCAAACACTCATCATGATAAATTAAAAACCACTCACCATCGCCTTCCATGCCATCTTCACTCTCCTGAGAGGAAGAAGATGACACGGGTTAGAGGAGTCATTCCCAGACGTGGGGAGCCCACCCGCAAATAAATGTGAAGAACTGAAGACTCAACACAAACGGTCGACTAGGGATATGGAGAAAGGTAAATCGTTCTAAGTCACAATCAAGAAGGCCGATCCCCTACACCTCCAGCCCCAGTCCTGTGTCAACACCCGCGCAGCACCGCCCGGGCTCGGAAGCCACCCATCTCTGGGGCTTGGGGTGGCTGCAGACTCGCAGCGGGACAACCTTCCCGTCTACCGGGAGGCCCGGTGTCTCGCAGCACCTCCACCCCGCCCTCTGCCGGGTCGTCGCACGGCAAGCGCTCACTCACACACTCCGACTGCTCTGCGCTCTTGGCGCCCCCGCTCTCCACCCGCCGCAGATGCAGGCCCCCGCCGCGGCCGCCGCGCTGAGAAGGCAGCGAGCCACTACCGCCGCCTCCGGCGCTCCCGCTGCAGCTGCCGCCGCCCCGCGCCGGAGAGCCGCTGTCGGAACCCGAAGCACCAGACTCTTCGTCCTCGGTGTCCTGGGAAGCGCGCTGCCGACGCCGGTCCGCCATCTTACGGAGAACGGCCACCGCTGGTCAGCTCCTTACGCACCACGCCCGCCGCGGAGGCTGCCGGGAGGCTCGAGAGCAGTCCCGGCATGCTTCACGTCCGGCGCGGGCCGCCTCTCTTCCCGCGGGGCGGGGCCTGCGCCCTGCGGCACGTTTGCGGGAGCGCGAGATTACGTCTACCGGTGATGTAAGGGGGCGTGGCTCGGCCCTGCATTTCTCCTGTGCGGGCACAGGGCCTGGGGATTGGTCCCCTGCGGCTTCTCTGGGTGCTTTGCTCGGCCATCTTGAGCTTTCCTTGCGGAGGGCTTCGACTTGTTACAGCTCCAATGTGGCGCTGGAGCTGTCGCATGATTGTCGTTTTCCATTTCTCGTTTTCCCCTGAATTTTAGACGAAGCATTATGCTGTATGCCATCGCATGATAACACCACGAATCCAGGTGAAAAAGCCTTAGTTCTGTGTCAGATTTGCCAGCTCTTCACCTCAGCCTAAATTTAGGGGAAATGAGAAACTGCAGTGGAGACACAACTAAATACTGTGGCGTTTTCTGTGTGTATTCAGATTTTTCTAACTCTGTGTCTACCCGACCCAGTTATCACATTTTTAGTAGTTCAGGTTGGTAGGACACTTAGGGGCCGGATCATCCTTGGCTACATAGGGATATTAGAAACCTAGTGTTTAAAATCCTGATGTGTTGTTATCTGACAGAAAATGCTTTGGGCATTTGTCAGCAATGAAAAAAAAAACCTCAGTACTGCTACCTCGAAACAGTTTGTAAACTAAATTATTAGTGCACATTGGTAATATACTCCAAATCGCCATGTGGTAACAGGATTCTGAGCTGTTCTCATAAATAAGGACCCCATCGTTTACCAGACTCTTAGAGACCAGAAGGACTCATGTTTGCAGGGTCTGGTTCTCTCAACTGGAGAAAGGTGACCAAATGTATAACGCAGTTCAGCTCCCAAACCAACTGCCTTGATTCAAAATGGAGGACGCATGACTTAATAATATCCATCACAAGCTAAACCGATGAGTAGGACCGCCAGGGTAGTGTCTAAATAAGGAAAAGGATAGTCTGCCACTATCCTTTAGTCCACTCTATCCCCAGCCTGACCTCAGGCTGGTCTTTTCCCACTCCTGCCCAGGTGCTAGGATTACAGGTGTGCACCACCGTACCCTGCTTGGGTCAGCTTTCTTTTGAGACAGGGTCTCATGTAAGCTAAGCTGTCCTGGCTGTGAGAAGCAGCAGTAAGAACTGGATGTTGTGCATGAGCAGATGTCTGGGACAGAAGACATCTTACGAGAGGAACTGTGAGAGAAGGGACATCTTTTCCCATCACTCTAGTCACACAAGGACCAAGGGGTTCACGCTACAGTGAGGGTTTTCAAACACTCAGAAAAAGATGTGTGGAAGACACAACACAGTTAAACAGATCTGGACCTCATTCGTCTGGATTGTTATCCAGGAGAAGTGATGTATCAGACGTTGAGGACACGTGAGCTTTGTAATTTGCCATTTATGTAGAGAAGGGCTCAGGACAAAGGAGCGAAACATATAACTGTCCTCTGACACAAATGGATTGAGTCCCTTATTAAGAGGGGGAAGTAGTATCTCATTCTATTTTATTTAAGAATAAATAACCTTTTATTTTCTAACCTTTCATATATGTAAGTAGAATTATTTAATGTTTGTTTCCCAACAAATCTAATAAATTGAGGCAAAAGTTCAAAAATTAACGGCCACAATAGTTTATTTACAATTGAACTCTTTATAAGATATTTACAAGACAGCCGACTTTACACATCAGAAATGGTATCAAAAGTATGAATTACAGCACAGACAACGATATGAAATGGGCATAAAACAACGCTGAGGTGGAGAGACAAGCATTTCTCTTTTAATTTATTAACACTAGCTTAAACTTTGTTAAAGAAATAAGGAACTATGTTTTAGAAGAACTGCAGGGCCTTACTTTCTGCTGAAGACTGAATTTCACAGTGCTGGATCCCATGCAGGGAAAAATAAGACTAATTTTCCCCACATTTGTAACACACTGTAATTTCACTCCTGGAACTTTGCTTCAACCTCCTTCTCAACAAACCTCAACATACGCAAACCAAAGGAAATCTAGGAGAGGACATCAAAAATAGTAGGCCCTCAGGGAAAGGAGAACCAAAGCAATAGAATCCACTTATGTCCTGCCAGATAGCACCTCATGGATTCCTCTCAGTCTAGCCAAAACAGGATCTGAGGACTCCTCTGTGAGAGGCTAGGTCTGCTAACCCATACCCAAAGTAGGAATCTGACAAATCACGGTAGCAAGAGGAAACTGAGAGGGATCAGAAACAAAGAAAAGAGGCAACTGATTGAGGTTATTCCTTTGGGAGGAGCACATTGTAAGGAAACATAACATAGGTCAGGGTAGGAGCACTAACCAGTTTGCCTCATTAAAAAAAAAAAAACAAAAAACAGAAACACAAAAATCTGGCCCATTTTTTTTAGATATATCCTCATCCTTAAGGTGTGAGATGAAAGCCTCTGTGGAACAAGTCCTCTTTCTCTCCACATCCTTGCCGCAATAGTTTACAGCAGCTTCCATTACAGAGAGACCACACTCCTAAGCAGATGGGGTTACAGGTGAAAACCCACAGCCACACACAAACACACACAAAAGAGAATTGAGAGCAGCAAGATCATCCAAGAATACTACACGTACTGCTGGAATAATTCCTTTCAAAATCAAACCCAGGGAGCACAGATAACATCTCAAAAAAAAAGCTTTAGCAGTGGGAGGCCCTGAGGAACTTTTCTTCTCTTCCCACAATGGCAATCCCATTCTCTCCTGCTCAGCTGATGGGCCAGCCACACACCCTCCATACCTTGGCTTCTCCTCTAAAAGTGCTAATAATCCGGGGACATACTCTCTTCAAGGATAAAAGCCCCTACCTTCTAGGAGATTAGACCCCTACTTGTTTTTATACAATAGTCCTGAAGACTAATGAAAGGCAATTCCTATATATATATGTATATATAAGACCAGAGGTCTCGACTCTATTTTCCTTCCAGATAGTTAACAGGGATCTTACACTGAGACCAAAGTGGCCTAGGAGTGCTGTCCTGATTTTTTTTCTTTTGGTAACAAAACAAAGGCAGGAGATAGTAACCAAGATGGGACATGTATAAATCTATTTTTTACAAAACGAACAGAGGTTCATTAGGTACAACTCTTTGTTTCAAGATGTAGACATTTGCCAGTCAAAGGAAGCATATCTTTCCATACCCTCCCTCCCCCCCACACGTTTGGCTAATAGGATGAAACCCCACTAAGGAATATTGAGAAGTGATGTGACGGAAGGACATCTGTACAAACTCTGGCGTGCCAGCCCCAAATGACAACGTTTCTGTTTAGCACTGGAACTAGTTGGAAACTTACATCCCTGATCTCTTTTTCTAAACATTTTCTTTTTTGAGGGGTGGGGAAAGAACTTCAGTTACCCATTAATTAGGAAAGTGCTCAGCCACACACCTCTTTCCACTTCCTTTATCACAGCCTAGTTTTGAGAGAACCAACTTTCACACAATAGTCTTATTTCTTCCTCTATGAGGGTGACTTGCTTCATCTGTTATTCCTCCTTGGGTCCTAAAGCTTATGGTAAGGTCTCTTTGTTTATTTTAGTGTAAAATCTACTACACCCAAACTGTTCAAAAGGCGCACCAGGGAAGCACAGGTCAGGGCAGGCACGGCTCCTACAAGACCGGGGTCACTCCATCTTCAACGTGGCTAATGAAGAGCCCTCGTACCCCTTTAACACAGGCAAGTGAGCAGAAGTGGCTCCTAAAACTCCCAAATCTACCGTCCTATATGATAAGTGCATGAGCTCATTTCCCCAAAAAGGAAAAAGAAGTCCCAATAACTCTCCGTAATTCAAAATAAGCCCAATGCAAGAGGTTTCTTTTGCTTGTTTTGTGAAGTCAGGGTGACGAAAACAAAACTAAAATGAAGGAGTATGGAAAGGCATTACCAGTGAGTAACACACATGAGGACATAGGTCACACATACAGGTCTCGGCCATTCTCTTGGAATGGCATGCTACAACTATCTGAAGACAGGGTTCTTGCCAGCACAGCTACTTCCTACACGTCCGGTGAGGTGTTTGCTTCTTCTGGATCTCTAACCTGCAACGGCTTCGTTCATCCAACCAGGGTAGCTCAAAGTTCCTGGCAAAAAAGAAAAAAAAAAAAAAAAAAAAAGAGGACAGCAAAGTGAGAAGGTGGCACCAAAGCCTAGCAATGGTTAGTTGACCACTGAAGTGGCAAATCATCTACTTCTGACTTAAAAAGCATTCTACTTCCTGGCTTGTCAGGTCCCCATTTTTGTCTAGGCTTCCATGGAGTTTGAAAAAGAGGAATAAACTATTTGAAAAGGGAAAAACGAAAAAAAAACCTTTATACTTACTGTGGAGTTAATTTTGGTAATGGTCGTCCAAATGCTACAACAGGCAAGAAGGGGGTAATCATCAAACTTTCAACTATGGAAGAAAATCATATGAGACCGTGTTAGCAAGAGGTCAGAAATGTGTAACAACAACTACACCACTTCCAAAACACAGCTTACTCATCAGAACAAGCTGTGCTGAGATTTGTACCCCTTTTCCCTTGAAAAGCCTACATTTGTAAATTTGTTCGCTTTATTTCGTGTTTATGGGTAGGGGTTTGTATATGTGAGTGCAGTGCCCTCTGAGGTCAGAAGAGGGCATCAGGTCCCATGCAACTGAAGTTACAAGCAGTTCTGAGCCACCCAATGTGAGTGCTGGAAACCAAACTCTGGTCTCTCCAAAAACAGAAGCACTCTTAACCACTAAGGCATCTTTCCAGCCCCAAAGTCTACATTTTTAGATACAACTTACCGTCATCTGGCTCAGGGAAAAATGAGGTAACCTCAGGCTCAGATTCCTGAATTCCTTTCTTTTTATACATTCTGAGCTGCAGTCGCTGTAAAATTCTTTGTTCCCTGATCCTCTGAATATCCCATCTGGGGAAAACCAGACAAAAAGAAACAAACCCAGCATTACTACTTAGCTAGAAATTGTCCTACAAAAGCAATTCACTCTCCGATGCCAGAAGACCCTTACTTAACTCCTCTCCCGGGGTCAAGTGACTGACTACAGATTATGTGCTGGTGTTCCACACAAAACAGCACTGAGGGAGGGCATCTGAGGAAGGCCAACAAGTGTATCTGCCTGTTAAGACAACCGCCCCACAGGAATGTTACGTGCCCTAAGACTCTCCCCGATATGGAAGTCTCAGTTCTGGGGCTCAGATGTTCCCAGGATGGAGGTCTAGTCCTTACCTTTTTCTTCTCTTCTCATCTAGCTCCAGTTTTGCATGCCTCTTTGAAAACACACTGTCGTCTAGGTTCTGGAAGAGGAACAGCAGGGGTAAGCTCCTTATGACCATGTTGGAATAACTCAGTTTTCAGGAGAATAGCATTTTTCACCTTCAGGTTCTAAAAATATCTGCGTTCCATAGATACATTATAAACCTTCTGGCTAAAGAATCAATAAAGGAAACTCCTGTCCTTACCCTGATTCTTTCCGAAATCCCAAATTTCAAATTTAATCCCCATAACTTTCCAGGATAAGTCATGCCAATTGCCTGTGTGAGGGTCATAAACTCTCCCTACCTCTATACCTTTTAAGAGTCTGAAATCAAAATAACCTTTTTTCAATAATTAAGTAAGTTTGGAACATAGGATTGTGTTGCTGAGTGGCACAGCCTAACTTTTGTACTCAGTATGGAATCTACCTTAGTTTGGAACACCATCTCAATGCTGATTTTGAAAAATGACTTAATTACTCTAGAACCGACTTTTCTCATCCATAAGATGAAAAGCATAGAGTAAATAACCTCAAGCTCCTTTCTGGTCTTAAGAGTAGCTAAGTAGGGCTGGAAAGATGGCTCAGCGGTTAAGAGCATTGCCTGCTCTTCCAAAGGTCCTAAGTTCAATTCCCAGCAACCACATGGTGGCTCACAACCATCTGTAATGAGATCTGGTGCCCTCTTCTGACCTTCAGGCATACATGCAGACAAGATATTGTATACATAATAAATAAATAAATTTAAAAAAAAAGAGCACCAAGTGATATAGCTGGGACTATAGGTGCCGACCACAGGGCCAGTTGTACACCCTATATTCTATTGTTTCCAATTCTCTTCATTAACAGTTCTCGGTACTTACCTCCAAAATGTCTGAAGGATTTGGGTCCCTTAGAGGCTCTACTGAGTGGTCCCTCCAAGAAGGAACTGAAAAAAATATAGAAAAAGAAAAGAAAAAGAGGAGGGGTGGAACCACCCTTAAATCCAAAGTCACACAACTATACAACTATTCACTAGGACAAGCAGTCTCTCCCCAGATAAGACAGTTACCAAGTGATAGGAATCCATTCTATGGCCTCACCCAAAGCCATAGTCAGTGTCCTCGCTATGGTATAAAAGAACCTAAAATGCCATTGCAGTCTGTCAAACTCAGGACCTAAGCCAATACCTGACAATTCACATAATGGATGCTATTGAAGTTCCTGAAAAACAACTGAAATGCGTTGTCATCTGGACGCCTACGATAGTGTCAGCAAACACCAAGGACTCTCGCTCTTCCATATCCAACAGAGAATGGCGCTCCCAACCAGCCACCATCCCACCAATTCCCACCCAGGCCCAGCCGGCAATTCCTAATCTACTCACCAGCCAAGACTGAAGTTTCGCCTGCAACACTTGATGGCATCAGACACCCTAAATAATGCAGGAAAGAAGAATCATCTCAGTGTAAAAAGAAAAAAGCCCATACCCAGAGCGGAGGAGAGGAGCGTCACTCATGTTCTCACTAGGAGGCCATTTTGGTTTTTGAGCTGTTCTTTTGAGAATTTCTCTCTGGGGAAGGGGAAGAGGGAACAACAGACAAAAGAAAAGAAAATAAGCCCACCACTTTTTTTTTTACACTGAGACGACTTCTTTTCTTCATTATTTAGGGTGGTTTCCCTGCAACAGTTGATGGCCAAGGATATCAAACCTTAAACTCAGAACATGGCAGGTGAGTAAAAGTTGACCCTATTTTTCAAATAAATAGATCAGTGTTCTCAGAACTTACATATGTAGTCTTCTTAAACAGTTTCCTCCTCCCTCCACACAAACTACCTTGCTGGTGCAGCCTGAACAACATGCACAAAGACTTTGGCTTTCTTAGGATAAGTCATTGAGACTTCCACTTGAGATAAGGGCATCATAAGATAAGGATTCACACATTGATGCGTAACTCAGGCTCCTCAAGAGACTGGGCTCTCCCAATCACATTCCCTCATGTTGTTATGCCCACAATCTCAGATGTGTTTGGGACTTGTTCTACTAGAGTAGACAGGGTTTTCAAAAACAGCCAGTCACACAGAAGAACTCCAGACCAAGCCATTTCCTAATTCCGGATGGGAAGTTGCTTCACGGTTTCTCCTAAATTGTTACACAGCATTGCTGTAGCAGCAAAATTTAACTATTAAGATGAACCTGTTCAACTGACTGAAACAACAAAAGTATCTGAATCTAGAGCAGAACCCTGGTCTGTCTCGTGTACTCAAGTGTGAGGCCTAATGAAGGTTAGGTCATTGGTCTGTCTTCCCCACAACAGCCAAACAAAGCCTGGAGACTGCTCACATCTTGTTTGGAATGGATTCCCATCCCCATTCCTGCTATAGTAAGGCACAGGGTAGAAACTTAGGTCTGAGGCTCTACCTAAGAAAGGTTTCCCCACCGTTACCCAAGAGCATCCACAGTAACTATCAGACTAATACGGCACAATTGAAGACACATCAGTTACTGGTTCATATAAAAGGTGGGGATCATCTCTGGTGGAAGCCATTAAGAAAATAAACAGGAATAAAGACCAAGTTCCCAAACCCCACCCCCTCCCCAAGCAGCTCAGATATCCCAAGATAGTCCTTATTGTTTGAAAAATAGTTTGTAGACCATTTTATTTAAATATATCAACAACCAATGGGCTACTGCAATCCACGTCAACTCTTTGCATCTCAGAACCTTGTGAAGTGTAGTAAGGTAAATAAGACTGTTGGCCTTTGGCAGATCCCTCCTGCCCACAGACCGGGACATAGAGATACAGATAAATGTTTGTGTACTTAGAGAACGGAGGCCCAGGTGAAATTCCCCATCCCAAGCTGACTCCCCAATCAAAAATTACCATTGGCCCCTGAGAACACCCAAAGACCACCCTCCCAGGTTTCACACAACATCAATGCAGGAACAGTCGTGCACGGCAAAGTGTAAGTTCTATGCATTTCATAGCACAGAAAACCCTTCTTTCAGAGGGCATGCAAGTTGCCGGAGATTACACCCCCAAGTCTGGTGCTCTTGTGATGAGCAACTTACTGGCAAACACATCTCCCAGTGTTGTAAGCAGACACATACATTGAGCACATTTTGCTGTAATTCCATCTATTTGCAATGCCTGCACAGTGTCTGTCTCTGGCTGTTAACTTACTCATTCTTGACAGAACTCTGCTTTATTGATTGCACTTTTTAAAAAATGCCAAAGGCATTTCACACTTGTTAGCTTGACCGCCACCACTAGGGTATAAGAGCAAGTGTTCTCTATGCCTTACTTGCTACAGTCTCCTCCTTCTTTGGAGAGGATTCCCGTAATGGTAACGGTGATGGGGGAGGCTGGTGCCAACGACACAAATACATTTCTGTGGTGGAAAGGTACGGCAAATCTTCCATCTCACTTGAGAAGGTTTTCTCCTTGGGGTGGGCGCTGGGTCCCTTTTGGGGAGTGGAGAGTCTTGGTGGGGTATCCACTGAAGACCGGGGCTTTTCTGGGGTTTCTTGGCTCCTCAATTCACGTTTACAAACAGTTTCTGATAAGGAACCACAGGGTTCCTCTTTAATGGGAGAGTGCTTAGGAGTTTTTGTTTTGACTTTTGAAAATTCAGGAGCCAGCTTTTTAACAGGAGTCTTTCTTTCTGTATTTCCAAATTGGGTTTTCCTATTAGGTAGGAAAGAAAATGTTATAAAATTAATTGACTTTTGAATAAAATTTGAGATTAAAATATATTTGAAAGCAAGAGCAGTATCCAGGTACCTAAACATCTACTGTTCATTTGGAAGACAAGGGCTGTGTCATGCTTGAAAGTATACACAACAGGCCTTTGGTAAACGATCAAGCATCTATGTTTAAGAATATCTGGGTCAGGTGGTGGCAGTGCACGCCTTAATCCCAGCACTCGGGAGGCAGAGGCAGGCAGATCTCTGAGTTTGAGGTCAGCTTGGTCTACAGAGTGAGTTCCAGGACAGCCAGGGCTACACGGAGAAACCCTATCTAGAAAAAGAAGTATCTAACTCTCTACTCTCCACGAGAGTCAACAGGGTGACACCACTCTTTACCCATTCTCTTTAAGATATAGCTGCATGTGTATTTAGTACTGTGACAAAAAAATGTTTTAAGACAATTTCTCAACATCACAGAAACCTGGGGGCAGGGGGGTGTTGTTTCCCAGGCTGGCCTTGAACTTACAATAATCCGCTTGCCTCAGCATCCTAAGTGCTGTGATTACGGGTGGGAGCCATAAGAGACTTCTCGATTCAGGCTATAGTTACTATAAAGCCATTCCTACCCACTCAGGCAAGAACTCCTTGTCTTGTTCAGATAGTTGGAATAAAGTTATCAGCACACCTTTTGTGTCCCTTTCCACTCCGTCCACATGAGAAAGGCTTGGAAGGCAGAGCCTGGGATGTCTCGCAAAGCTCCGGCTGGCGCTCCAGTTTAATTTTCTCAGACAACTCTATTTCCTCTCTCTCTTCAGTTTCATAGCCCTGAAACAGCTTGTGCCTTTCTTTCTCGTTATCCCTCTTTACCAACTGCATCCGCCTTTCCATACGTTCAATCCGAGCAAGGAGCTAAAAGAAAGTGACAAGATGCAGACTTACACACAGAAGTTAAACCTAAGTACTTAGCCCCATTTGGGACTCAGCAGTCTTCTGCATGTTGCCATGGACTTTACTTTGAATTGGCAGACATGAATCTGCTTTTCTTAAAACCAATAAAGGCAAAAGATAATTGTAGGAGTTAGTCTGGATGGTAAGCGGCATGGGGCAACTCTAAGCTCACTCTTCTGAAAGAAGATCCTCTTCACTGGGCGGGGCCAGTGTGCCCTTTAATAACAAGGCCTCTGCTACAGCCAGCCCTCAAGTTAACCTTATATATGTTCTTCACTGTTGTATGTGATGCTAGGGACAGAACCAGGGCCTCTGAGCACCACTGAGCTACATTCTCAGCCCTGTGTTCTTTTCAAGTGTCACAACGTTATCCAAATTCTATCTGTTCTATGTTCACTCCAGAACTCCAGACATGATGGAATGTTCAAATAGTACAGTAAGAAGGAGTCAGGAGCACAGGGTGTTACTAGGGATAGCAGTATTACACCAAAATGTTCTGTATGCATAGCTGAGAGAGTACTTCTAAAACACACTACATTGGAAGGAATTATAACAGATAGATACCAGTAATATAATACCAACAAATATGACATACATATTATACTTTGCATTTGAGCCAGCAAAAGTAACTTATCTAAATATTTATTAAAATTACTTTCATTCTAATTAAAGAGAACAACAAATATCAAACAAAATGGAAGTCTATTGTCATGAGAAACTTCCCATTAACTCAGTTTTGACAAAAAGGTGCTACTTACACCATACTATAAGAATTTTGCCTGCGTTTGACAGTGATATTAATGCTGCCTTTATTACATCCATTGCATAGATTTCAGAAGAGGCCAAACAATAACTGGAATAAGAGAAACAGACTTAAGCAATGCTAAGACCACTGCAGCACATAAGAGAAGCAGTGAAAGCTAAGTACTTTATCCTTAACTCACCCCACTTTCTCCTACCTTGAAAAGCCTATAAAGGGGACATTACTTCAGGAACTCAGCAAAAATCTCCACCATCAGCAGTGTCCCCCTAGTTAGCCATTCTCTCATGTCGTCTTCTGTTCTGATTCACAGCCTTAGCATTATTTAACCTTGTTTGTGGGTGACACAGTCTTGGTTTCTTCTTTACTGGTCTTTCTCCCCCCCCCCCCATGGAAGGAAGGGTGTGATGTGCTGTAACTACAGGACCATCACACCCCTAGACTGCAGTGTCCTAGCTGAGCAGTGCCACCTCCATGTTGAGGAACTTCCACAATCCACACTGAGGAGTTTCCACGAGACCTGCCTCATCTCCCACTCCACCTTGTAGAATGCAATCTCCAACCAGGGACTGATTCATTTAGAAAACAAACAAAATGAGGAATTCTGCTCCCATGCTCAGCCTTTGGTGCACACAGCACCAGGGTGAGAAGAGAGGAAAGAGGAGAGTGAAAGAGAGCTGCAGCCTGAACAGAACTGTAGAAACCATGTTTATTCTTAGGCGGCTGAAAGGTATGCTGCACAGCAATACCCACCACACCAGTTTCCCTGTGTGTGAGGGAGTGTGCTTAACATGGAGGTGCCCAAGACTGCTGAGCAGTGAGAACAAGCCTTAGAAGTACAAAGAAATAACAAACGACTTCTCCACTACCTAAAGATTCTAAAGCCGGTCTGGGAGGTGAAGGAGCTACTGAATACATTGAATAAGCTCATGTCTCAAAATCTTCAAGCTTATTCAAGAGACTCGGTCAGTGGGTCATGATTTATAACTCAGGTATCTACTAAAAAACTACCTGAAATCAAAGGCAGTGATTCCCATTTAGAAAACACCATTTAGGAAAGCTAAACTAAGACTCCATGTAACCCATCTTTTACCCTCTACCGACTAACAGACCTACGACGACCCTCGTGTCTAAAGATGCTGCAGCACTGGCCGAAGCAACAGCTGTTAAGTCCCCGTCCTCTACAGTGCATTTCCAGCGCAACAGCTCTTTAACCCCTTCTATGCAGCCGCCACATCTGCACCCCACCCTATCATTTTAACCCCTCATAAATCGGTCTTTGCCCACTCTAAACGGCTTTCCCACAAGTCTGGGACTGTCATTTTAAATTAACCCTTTGGCTACCGAAGCCTCCCCCACCACACACACACACACACACACACACACACACACGCTGAATGCCGCCCTTTAACCCTTCCCTCCGCCCCAACGTGTCAGTGAGCCAGGCTCCTAACCACCCAGCATCTAAAGCACTCCTTCGCTGGTGGCCAACTTCCTCTAACCCTAACCAAGCGGGGACCTCTGCCTCCTACAGCCCCCCTTCTCCCGAGCATGCGCACAACGCGCTCCCCATCCCTGATGCAGATTAACCCATCCCGTACCGTGTCTCTCTCGGACTTCAGCTCCTCGATCTCTTTTTCCTTGGCCTGCAGCTGCTGCTGCTGCTGCTCGATGAGGTCCAATTGCAGCAGAAGGATCTGTTTGAGGCAGGCGGCCTGACTGGAGGCTCCCGAGCCGCCGCCACCCCCGAGAGGGCTCTTCCTCATACTCTTCCATCTGCCCTCGCTGGCCGCCAGGGTCCCGGCAGTGGCGGTGGGCGCGAGGGGTGGCGGCCCGGGCAGAGGTAGTGGTGGGGGTCCCGCCGGGTCCGAGGCGGTGGCAGCCGGGGGAGCCGCCCCACCCTTGTCCCCAGCCCAGGGCGTAGGCTCTTTGGCCGCCGCCACGAGAGAGCCCGTCTGAATGGGCAGCACCGCCTGATACTTGGGCCGGGGGCTGCAGCCGGCGCCGGCTGCGACTGGCTCCCCGCCGATGCCGGCTTGTTTGGTAGCTGGGGGCGGACAGGGCAAGGGCACCGAACCGCCCCAGCTCTCTTCCTGCTGCCCGGGGGCCGCCCCGGCCGGGAGTAACAAACCCCGGCCCTTGCCGCCGCAGCCGGCTGGAGAGGGCGCGGGACTCCCGCCCTGGGAGGAGGCCAGCGGGGGCCCCGGCTCCTTGAGCTTACGATGCCGGGGGAGGAAGTGGGCTTCGGCTGCCCCGGACTCGTCCTCGGGCCCGCCCAGCGCCGCAGCCCGCTCGTAGTCCAGTCGCTGCTCGGGGTTGCCGCCGGCAGGAGCCGCGGCCGCCTTGAACACTGCGGATCTCATGGTCATAGTGGTCCGGAGCGGCGCGGGGGACCGAGACGGAGGAGGGGGTGGGGAAGGGGCGAGGTGCGGGGGGTCGAGGACGGAGGAGGGGGAGGGGAGTTTGGCGGGCTCGTCTCAGCAGAGCGGCCGCAGGCCTCCGCTAACGCGGCTTCTCCGAGGCCCGGGCGCCATCCCGCCGGCGAGCGGAGAAGTGGAGGCCGCGGCTGAGGCCCGCCGCCGACCCATGGGGGCCTCGCCGCCGCCTCTGCTGCCGCCACCGTCGCCTTCGCCGCAGAGGCAGGAGCTCGCACCCAGCCGCCCCCGAGCTCATCCCCGGAGCTCGCTTCGGCCCCCCCTGGCCCGGCCGGGCCCGCCTCGTCTCCCCACCCCGCACCCCCCTTCCCCGCCCCGGCCCCCCGCCCCGGAGCTCGCCTCAGCCGCCCCGAGCCTCCATTTCCCCCCCCTCCGCTCCTCCTCAGGAGGGGGGTGGGAGGGACGGGTCCGCCCAGAACCCTCCTACTCCGGGAGGGGGGTCTGCCGCCTCCCTCGGGGGTCTCCGCGGCTCCGGCTCCCCCTCCCCCACAGTCACCCCCAGCGCCTCAGCGTTTCCCTTTAAAAAAAACGGAGCCGCCGCTGCAGCCGCCGCTGACCGGAGCGCGCATGCGCCGAGAGGGCAGCGGGCGGGAGCGAACCGGGAGCCGAGAGGAAGGGAGGCGGGTAGCACTATTGTGAAAGGGGCCGCGGCCACGAGGGGGAGGGGATCGGGGCGCGGGGGCCCACGAGGGGAGGCAGGGGACGAGGGCGAGCACGCTGGAGCGGGCGAAGGTGGGCCGGGGCGGGAAAGAAGGGCTAGGGCGGCCGCTGGTGGCTGGGGAATGCGGAGGATCCCCGGAAAAGCCAAGCGCGAGAGAAAGGGGTTGGGAGGAAGGAAGGAGGGGCGGGCGGGCAGGCGCCCGCCCCTCGCGGTCGCCTACCGACCGCTCTGCTGAGCCTGCCTGCGTTGAGTGGCCCTTCCCGGGCCGCCTGGCAACGCGCCTGGCCCACGCCGGAGCCCCATGCACCTTCCGGACCAGCCCCGACCCCGGCTCCCCTTGGAGCGGTGGAAGGTAAAGCTTCCACCCCGTAGGCTCCATGGCGGTCCCACGCGGGTTGGGAAAGAAACGAAGTTCTTTGTCTCTAAGGGGTCCAGCACACACACGGAGGGACCTCTGGTTCTAGAAGCAGCAAAATAGATGATGTCTGCTGCCCAGGGAGTTTTTACCACAACCTTCTTGGGATTTGGGGTGAAGTTCTGCCAACTACCAATAGTTCTTTCTCAACAGCCATGTCCTCAGACTTAAGCTATTGCTAGAATCTTCTGCAAGAAGGCGCAGGAAATCTATGAAGATTGCTTGTATTGGGGCTAAGCGTTCTTTAGGGCCTTCAGTTTGAGCACTTCTTCCCATTTCTCAGGTTCATAGTGTCTATGTGTGTGCCGTCATTTTCCAAGCAACTTTGGCCACCAACTCCTCGCACATTTCCCTATGGAAAAACTTGTAAATTAATTGGTTGCTTTTCTGTCTGAAGGGCACTACTGAAAAAATTTTATGGAGGTAACCGGGTGTAGTGGCACATGCCGTTAATCCCAGCACCTCGGGAGGCAGAGGCAGGAAAATTTCTGTGAGTTTGAGGCCAGCTCTACATAATCGAGTTCCAGGACAGGCAGTGCTACATGGAGAGAGACCTTATCTCCAAAACTAACTAAATCGTGCAGGGATGGAGAGGACATCTGGCCCAGTGTGAAAGCTTCCAGTTAGAGACTCCTCTGCTTTGCGGGCTCTGAAGCAAGACACACTGAAAGCTTGGGGATGGCTGTGAACGTCCAGAGTCCCAGCCCTCTTTCCTTCAGACTGGCCGCAGATCTTCCAGGAAGTCCTGGAAAGTTTGTAGAATGTGGTCTTTTTCATTATGAATACTCCACACCATCTCACTCTTAATTCACATACACTGAAACCTCCCAGATTTGTAGCCTGTTGGGCTATTACTCCAAAATCATATCTCCAAGTGTCTAGACTATGTACAACTGGGGGTCTAATATGCATTTCAAAGTCAAGCTTTTGACTGCCACCTAAGTCCCGCTTCCCCATACCCAGTAAGTCAGTCCATCTCTCTTTCAAAATACTAATCAAAAATAATACACTTCAGCATCATCTCCACAACTTCCACCGTGATTTAAGCTGTGGTCTTTACTTTTTATTTATTGATGATTTATTGGAAGTAGCCTCAGTTTCAACCTTTGCCTAAGCCTGCCCTGGGCACCGACAGTCATCCTGATAAGATATAAAACGATAGTCGTTCTCTAGTCTGAACCCTCATGGCTTCCTCTCTCACTTGGTAAAGCAGTCGCTGACCAGCCTGAAGAATCTGGCCTGCACCCTGCTGCGGGCTTCAGAGCTCTCAGTGCTCCCCTTCTCTCCTCTCCTGCCAGATTCACCTGTGTGTCTGCTCAGGTTCCATGCTGTTCCCTCTGCCTGGGCCTCATTGGGCCCTCACATGACTTCCTTGTGTCCTATGGCTTTTTGCTAAATGTCATCTTTTAAGTGCTTTCTTTGCTGACCTTTACTCTTTTCTGCAGGACTTATCACCATTTAACACATAATCTGTCCTGCATTTTCCTCAACGGCTAACATGTGAACCTCATAGATCGTGCACTGCATGTCTCTAGACCCATACCAGTTACAAAGTAGGCTCTTTATGTAAGCCAGCTTGAAGACTGTTAGCCTGGGTGGGAGGCGATGAGTAGCTAATCTAGGACCCAGCGGTATAGAGACAGGCAGAGAAACCACTGGTAGAGCGAGCGGAGTGCCAGGCTTGTGGCAAAGACCAGTGATCCCAGCTATTCCGGGAGACTTAGGTAGTACCATCCCAAGTGCAAAGCTCCCCAGGTCACAGAGTGACATCTGTGCTGTGGTTCAGGGGTAGAGTGCTTTTGGCTTACGTAGCAGCCACAAAGTCCTAGGTTCAGTCCTCGGTATTACTTGAGAAGGACTGGTGAGATGGCTCAAAGGGTAAGGGAAATTGCCACCAAGCCCCAGGACCTGGGTTGGATCCCTGGAACTCAGTGGAAGGAGAGACACAAGTTGTCCTCTGACCTTCACCTTCACAGCGAGGGCACACATGGCCAAACATGAATAAGTGTAATACAAATTCATAAAGAGAAGAAGCCAAGGCTGGAGCATGAAACTACAAGAAGCAATCAGAAAGCTGGTGAGCTGGTTCAGCAGGCACAGGTGCTTGCCCTGCAAGCCTGGCCACCTGAGTTAAATTCCAGGACAGGTAAGGTGGAAAGAGAGAGGCAACTCAACAGAATTACCCTTCCTTCCACAGAATGTATGACAAGCCCCTTCCTCCACAGCATGCACATAATAAACCCAAGCCAGCATTGTTAGCATCGCCTCATAACTTGCATGTACAAGTTACCAGAAGCTCTGCTTTGGTTTGAGGGTTTTTTTCTGGAGTTTTGTTTTTATTTTTTGTGAGACAGGGTCTTGAGTAGACCAAGCTGGCCTTGAACTCCTGATCTTCCTGCTACCACGTCCTGAGTGTTGGGATTGTGGGATTACAGGCACGAACTATCATACTAGGCTAAGCCTACTTACCTACTTTTAAAGGGCCAGACAATGACTATTTTAGGCTTGGCTGACTGGGAGGCCTTTTTCCCCCTCTTCAGTGCAAAAGCAGCCCAATGAATGATATGAATGTGGCCGTTTTCTAATATAACTTTATTATATGATTCTTCTATTCCTGACAATTTTGTTTGAAGTTTTAAGATGAGGTCTCTCATATATGTATATGAATATATATACATATATATCTATATTTCCCATGTAGCCTCTAATTACTATATAACTGACAAGAACCTTGACCTTATCTTCCTACCTCTACCTCCTAATGCCGGATCATAGGTATTTACCATTATCTGTATTCACCACAGGCCGAGCATATTCAGTGCTGGAGTTCATACCCAGGCCTTCACAATTGGAGGCAACTGAGCTACATCACTAGCCCTATTTCTAGTGCTCTCAATTACAATCTCATTTTAAAATGTGCAACTATTACAAATTCTTGGTTTGGTTTGTTTGTGGCAAGGCCTCATGCTGTAGCCCAGGCTGGCCTGGAACTCACAGTGATCGGCCTGCCTCTGCCTCCTGAGCGCTGGAAACAATTCTCTGTTTGTGAGGCACACCAAAAGGTGTTGGGTCGCCAGGCCTCAAAGTAATCCTACACACAAAAGATGGAAGCAGGAGGATTTAAAGTTAGAAGCCAGCTAGGGTACATAACAAGAGCCTGATTTTATAAAAAAAAAAAAAAAAAATTGGGGCTGGAGAGACGGCTCAGAAGTTAAGAGCATTGCCTCTCTTCCTTGAAGTCCTGAGTTCAATTCCCAGCAACCACATGGTGGCTCATAACCATCTGTAATGGGGTCTGGTGCTCTCTTTTGGCCTGCAGACATACACATAGACAGAATATTGTATACATAATAAATAAATATTTTTAAAAAAATTAAAAACGCTGAGTTGGCTCTCCTCTTCTGGCTGCCCACCCTGAGCTGGGGCACAGACTGAACAAGAGTCAGTCTAGGATAAAATGTGGGTGGGAGTGCTGTCCACACCAGCCCTGGGTGTAAGGTGCATGGGAGCACTTTCTTTTCTTTCTTTTTTTTTTTTTCAAGACAGGGTTTCTCTGTAGCTTTGGAGCCTGTCCTGGAACTCGCTCTTGTAGACCAGGCTGGCCTCGAAATGGGAGCACTTTCTAATGAAGGTACGTTCTTCTGTATTTGCTAAAAAGTTCTAGACATACAAAAACCAAATGAAAAAATGCTGGGTGGTGGTGGCGCACACCTTTAATCCCAGCAAAGGCAGGCAGAGCTTTGTGAGCTCAGCGCCAGCCTGGTCTACAAGAGCCAGTTCCAGGACAGCTAGGGCTGTTACACAGAGAAACCCAGTCTCAAAAAACAAAAACAACAAAAAATACTAGACATTGAATCCAGGACGTCATAAATGCTGAGCAAGTGTTCTACTGCCGAGCTATCTGCACAGCCTGATTTTGACTCATTGAGACGGTCTCACCAAACTGTCCAGGCTGACCTGGAGCTGTGAACTTTCAACCCACTACCCTAAAGTATACTTTCTTCTGTGAAACGAACGATGCCAGTAATCAACGGTAGTACCTTTTAAATGTCTTCACCAGCAGATAAATTATCAGCTGGCCATCCTACATCAGTCCACACCTTTAGTTTTCCTGGAAACTTTTCATTTCTAAAATCCAAAGTCTACAATTTCACTACATCAGATAGTAAACATACCTTTTCCCCAAAGACAGGACTGGAATCTTTGGATTGGCAGCCTGACTGTAGCTCAACTTCAAGGGATAACCCACAGGAAACTTAGAAAGGTCTTTCCAGGGTTTGATTTGGGGACTTTTTTTGAGGCAGGATGCCCAGACTGACATCCAACTCTTTATGGCTTTCCACCGCCTTCCGGAGTGCTGAAGTTACTACAGGTGTGAGCCTCCAGGCCAGGCAAAGAATTACTTTCATTGGAATTCTTGCTTCTCGTGCTCGCTTCGGCAGCACATATACTAAAATTGGAACGACATGGAAGATTAGCATGGCCCCTGCGCAAGGATGACTCGCAAACTTG